CACACACACACACACACACACACACACACACACACACACACACACACTTTAAACAGAAGTTAATACTTATCATTCACAAAGCCATAATCTACTTCTGTCAGGCATATGTAAATTTTCTTTTACTATGTTAAGGGCTTATGTAGTCTAACCTGAGCTCAAACTTTGTAGCCACTGTATTAGGATTAAGGTGGATACAACCCTCCCCACCCCCCCACCCCCTTTTAAAGATCTCACTCCATTCCTGGTTGGCCTGGAACTTGGTATGCCGACCAAGCTGCCTTAAACAGGTGGTGCTGGGTTTGGAACTATAGTGCCACCAAGCAGGGGGCTCACCTGAGAGCCTGGGATGGTTTGGAATTCACTTTGTAGACCAGGTTGACTTCAAGAACCAGTGGTTTTCCTGCCAGTACCTCTCCAGTTTGAAGACTACAAGTGTGTACCACCACACTCTGCTTCATTAACTGATGTTTCTTTTTTTGTCCTTTTTATGGCCTTTTAGAGCCTAGGTTGGGCTTGAACTTGCTTGCCAGGTTGCCTTGACCTCTTGATTTACCTGTCTTTATCATCCAAGTGTTGAGATTAAAGGTGAGCATCACCATATCACCATGCTGGGCTCCATTAATTTAAAAAAAAAAAAAAGGTAATGGGAAGCTGGAGAAATGCTCTACCAGAGGACTTAAGTTTGTTTCCTAGCATCACCCATGACATGCAGCTCACACACACACACACACACACACACACACACACACACACACACACATAGATAGATACAGAGAGAATAAATAAATAAAATCTGTGTGTATTTGTGTTGTTAGCTTTTGCTACTTTCTGGGTTCTTTCTTCCTCCCTTCCAACCCATAACACTAGATAGGAGAGAAAAAAGGATAGAGGAGAAAGAGGGTGACCTTATTGTTACACTACTTCCTGCTGATTAGAGGCCTTGAGTCCCGTGGTGCAAGTTTGATCTTCGAAGTCAGAATACCTAATTTCTTCTTACTTCTTTTCAACAACTACTTAACAAACCTCAACCAACCATGAATGACCAGCAGCATCCAGCCACCAATCTATCAGGGCGCTAGCATTTATACATCCTCTGAAAAGTCCCCAGAATTCCAAACGTCACACAATTGCAGAAACCATCTGCAGCTGGCAAAATCATGCCTCTGCTAGAGCACGAGGCAAATCATAGCCAGCTACTGTGAGGCAGCCCCATATCCCACACCCGGTACTTAAAACAAAAACATTCTTATAGTATGAATGTGTTTTTAAATGAAACAAAATTCTCACTACATGTGGGCACAAACATAGGTTGTTGAGTGTGTGAGGTCAGAGGGCAGCTAGTGAGGTCATTTCTCTCCCTCTACCATATATATGTTCCTGGAACCATTCAAGTCATTAGTCTTGTGGCAAGTGTTTTTACCTGCTGAGCCATCTTGCCAGCCCTTCATTAGTTTTTGCAAGCACGAGCTTGTGTGTGTGTGTACATGTGTGTAGAGGCCAGAAATCAAACCTTGGGTTTGACATTCTCCATGTACCAGCCACCTGTTCATATGTGGTATATATGTGTGTCTGGTTTATGCCCATGTGGAGTTTGCCATTTTAACTAGACTGGGTGGCAAACAAGCCCCCAGGATCTGTCTTTACGATGACCCTTACCCCCGTATCTCTGCCCCAGCACTGGGGTTACACACACACACACACACACACACACACACACACACAGAGTTGGCTTTTTAAAAAAAGATTTTATTTTTAATTATGTGTATGTGTATGTGCATATGGACGTGCATCTGAATTCAGTGCATGCAGAGGCCAGGACAGAGCATCAGACCCCTTGATGCTTGACTTAAAGGAAGTTGTGAGGTGTTCAAGACGGTACTAGGAACGGAACCCCAGGCTTTGTAAGAGCAACAAATACTCTTAACCGCTGGACTATCTCTCCATCCCCCTTCCCTTTAGATTTTTAAAAAATATATTTTACTTATGTGAATGTCAGTTTATGTATACGTGTCTGAGGCTAGAGAGAAAGGTGACGGATCCCTTGGAGCTGGTAGTTAGCTTCATGGTGTGGGTACTAAGAACCAAACTCAGGTCTTCTGCAAGAGCAGCAAAAGCCCTCCCGGCGGCCCCATCCCTCAGTTTAATCTTGAGGCAGGGTCTTACTACAATTGCCCTTGGCTGGTGTGAAACTCACTGTGCAGACTAGGCTGGCCTCAATCGCATAGATACCTGCCTGCCTCTGCCTCCCAAGGGCTGGGATTAAAGATATGCACCACCATTGCTGGCCTAAAGTGTTTACTACATGTGTGCCTGCTACTCAAGGTCAGAAAAGGGGGTAAGATCCCCTGAAACTGGAGTTATGGCTTATGATGGTTTGTTTTTGTGGTTTTTTTCTCTTTGTTTTGAGACAGGGTTTCTCTGAGTAGCCCTGGCTGTCGTGCTCTGAAGATCAGGCTGGGACTGAACTAAGAAGTCCACCTGCCTCTGCCTCTCTAGGACAAAAGGCATGCTGGGACTAAAATCATATGCCACCATGCCCTACTTATAGACAGTTGTAAACCACCGTATGGGTCCTGGGACTAGAACCTAGGCCCTCTCTCTGCAAGAGCAACATTTTCTCTTAACTGCTAAGCCATCTCTCCAGCAAGGACAAAAGCTCTTAACCACTAAACCATCTCTCCAGCCCCTACATCTGGTTTTTAAAATCAGAGCTCAGATCCTCATGCTTGTGCAAGCAAGTATCTTTATCTACTGAGCTATCTCCCCAGTTCATCTTCAGAATAGAATCATGAAGGTTTAATGACAATATCACAGGGAATCAAAGTTACTGGTTTACTTCTTCTTTTACAGATGGAATGAAATGTGATAGACTGGTATGCAGAAATCCCTGGTTTTGAGAAAATCCAGGGTCCACATCCAAGAACTACATGTATAAGGTGGAAAGAGGGCTCAGTGCTTAAGAGCAATTGCTGCTCTTCCATAAGACTTAAGTTTGGTTCTCACACGGGGAGGCTCACAACTGACTGTAGCTCTTGGAAGACCTGAAACCTCTGGTCTCTGTAAGTACTTCCATTTATGTGCATATACATGTGTACACACATTATGTACAGAAGTAAAAATAATAAAAATAAATCTTAATAAAACTACGTGTAGTCACAGTCCTTGTATTTGTGATTGTGTTTGTCAGACATATATATACATGGTAGGGGAGATACTATCATCAAGGTGGTTTTCCCAGGGCAAGGTTCATCCATTGCTTTTTTGACATGCTGACTTCTGCAATTTCTCTTCCAACGTGAGAAACTCTACTGTATAATTTAAGTTGGAGAGAATTTTTTCGAGCTCTTTGGTTTTTTAAACAACAACAATAGGCCAGTAGGGCTGAAGAGATGGCACAGAGGATAAGAGCACCTAATGCTTTCAAAGAGGACTAAAATTTGGTTCCCAGCACCAACCCAGGCGGCTCACAAGGACCTGTAACTCCAGCTCCGGGGGATCCCACTTCTTTGGCCTCTGAGGACCCCTGCACTGAAATGCATATACCAACACAAAGACACATACATACTATTAAAAATAATAAAAAAACCCTCTCATATTGTAGGGTGGTGGTGGCACAATCCCAGCACTTGAGCAGCAGAGGCAGGCAGATCTGACTTTGAAGTCTCAGTTCTCCTGCCTTGGCTTCCTGAATGATGGAATTACGGGTGTGGACCACCACACCCAACTCAAGAAACACACAGCATAAAAATATTCCTGTCTAGTCTGGGCTACAGAGAGCCTGTCAATAGCAACAGGCCACATGTGATGGCACAAGCTTTTATTTCTAGCACGTGGAAGGCAGAAACAGAGGGAATCTCTGTGAGTTTGAGGCCAGCCTGGAGTACTTAGTGAGTACCAGGCCAGCCAGAGCTACACAATAAAAAGAAACAAACAAAAATAGAACAAAAATCTAGCCAGGCATAGGAGGTGAAAGTGGGGAGATCAGAAGTTCAAGGCCAGGCTCCACTGTATTGAAAGTTTGCAGCCAGCCTGGGCCATGTGAGGCTCCCGTTTCATAGAATAAAAACCAGAAGCAGCTGAGATGGTTCATTTGATAGATATGCTTGCCACACAGGCCTGGAAACCCAAGTTGGATTCCTGGCAACTAGGTAAAGTAGAAATGAGAAAACCCACTCTACCAAGAGTTGTCCTCTGACCTCCATAGGAGCATGGTGGCCCATGTAAACACACACAATACACATAAGTAAATAAGCAAAAAAAAAAAAAAAAAAAAAAAAAAAAAAGGGGCCTTGAGAGGTGGCTCGGTGATTAAGAGCACTGGTTGTTCTTGCAGAACAACTGTGGTCTGCCTCTTTAACATCTACACGGCAGCTCACAACCACTTCTAATTCCAGTTTCAAGGGATCTTAGAGTCCCTTCTAGCCTCTGTGGGCCCAGGCCATACAATTAGGCAAACACTTACGTGCATAAAACAATAAACTAAAAAATAAAGACACAGAGCTGTATATTAACTAGTCAATCATTTTGACCTACACAGCTGTCACCAAAATCTAGGAAATTTAGAGTTTCTTCCTTTTTTTTCTTCTTCTTTGAGATAAGGTTTCGCTGTGTAACCTTGGTTGGTCCTGTAGACCAGGTTGGCCTTGAACTCAAGAGATTTCCCTGCCTCTGCCTCCCTGAGAGCCCAGTCAATTTAGAGTTTCTTAATGATAAACTACTGAGACTCAGGGGAAACAGTGATTCAATCATACTGCCTATGCGCCCGGTTAGTCGTTAGGCAATGAATGAATCAAGACGTATTTTTCAAATGGACGGAGACAATGAAAATACCCATTTTTTTTTCAGTTTCTTCTATTTCAGATTCATTACCTTTATTCAGGGAGTTGCATCAGAAATTATTTTTGTACCTGTGGTAGCAATGACAAGCAATTCCTTTGTAATGTTGCACCAGGCCCGACAGGCCCGAGCCCACAGGCCCAAAGTCCCCCAAAGTACAGGGTCACGGGCTCAGCCAGAGCAGCCCCGGCAGCCGCAGTGCGTGCACTCGATGATGCGGCCCACTTCCAGCTTGCTTTTGGGAACCCGGCAGATGCAGTTGGTCCCGAAGTTGGTGTCCCGAGTCTGAATGCAGCGCAGGCAGCACAGGTTCTCGTAGCCTTGCTTCTTCCACTTGGCGATGAGGTTCCTGTCGGCGTAGCCTTCTTTAATACAGTACTCGTACAGCTCTCTGCTGATGGCTTTCCTTCGGTTAAAGAGGTCGAAGATGTAACGAGTTTTCTGATGGTGGATCCTGAAGATGGGCCACAGAGACTCCACTTTCCGCTTTCCCTCGTGGGGCTCAGTTTCAGCCTCTCTCATCTTCTGATCCAGTTCATCCAACGTTGGTTCAATCAACTCCCAGCCATCCGGCGGCGCTTTCCGGCTTCTTTTGACTTTGGGCATTTTCCAGCCGGATAGCTTGTGAAGACCTTCGGAGCGCTTTCCTCTGAGGATAATATACAAATCCCTGGTCTCTGTAGTTACAAGTCCGTGTTCTTGTCCGGATTTGTCAATGATTCTGGGACTTTGTGGGGATCACTTTTCCTCTTCGGCCCCCTGTCTCCTCGGAAGCCCAGGCACCGAGGAACGCGGCTTCTTTAATGATCCCAGCCGCTCTTATAATGAGAAATGGAAATTCCCCAGCCTTTTCCCGTCACCTTAGACGGGGGCGGGATGAACAATACTCTCACAGGCCAATTGCACCACGCGACGTCCCGTGACAAAAATGACCGACCATCTCAGGCGCCAATGGAGCTCCCCATTGTTAGGGTTCACTATGACTGATCACAAACCCAACTAATCCACTTGGAGGGGGTGAGACGATAGTCACAGAGGCTGGCCAATAGATGAAGAAGGAGACCGGAAGTCGGCCCCGGAGAAGGAGGAGGCGGGTGTTCACAACCGCCTAGGCCTGCGCGGGTCAACGCAGCTTGGGGGCTGCGAGCCAGCTAGTAGCGCGTGACGGTGAGCGTGAACGACAGACCTCCTTGGCCAATGATTTGGAGGCGCCTGGGAGTCGCAACCAGTGATGAGTCTGAGGGGCGGGAGGCAGCAGGTTAGGCAGTGAGAAGTTAGTGGCGCTGCTGGGACGGGGTGGGGGGGCAAGGAGACGCTTCTTCCTCCTGCTTTGCTCCTCACCTTCCCGGGATCAGGCGCGGCGGTGGCCGCGAGTGGTTCGGCGGCGTCTCCGGCTCTGCGTGAGAACCATGCTGACGGACAGCGGGGGCGGCGGCACCTCCTTTGAGGAGGATCTGGACTCGGTAGCTCCGCGATCCGCCCCAGCCGGGGCCTCGGAGCCGCCTCCGCCGGGAGGGGTCGGGCTGGGGATCCGCACCGTGAGGCTCTTTGGGGAGGCTGGGCCCGCTCCGGGAGTCGGCGGCGGCGGCGGCGGCGGCGGCGGCGGCGCGGGCGGAGGGGACGCCGCGCTGGATTTCAAGTTGGCGGCTGCCGTGCTGAGGACGGGCGGCGGAGGTGGTGCCTCGGGGAGCGACGAGGACGAGGTGTCCGAGGTATAAGCCCCGGGACCCCCGTGGCTAACATTGCCTGAGAGGTGACTCCTCGGAGCCAGCCAGCCCCCCGGCCGGGCCGCCCTCCCGCGCCCCCGGGTGCAGGCTCCCCTGACAGCGGTCGCCTGCACGGCGGCGGTGGCAGCGCTGCGGGCCTAGTGGGGCGCTCGGCTTGCTCTCCGGCGCGCGTCAGGAGCGGGACGGCTTCCCGTCAGCGCCCGGACACCCACAATGGGGAGTTCTTTGGTCCGCGGGCTTCGCGCGGGAACCCGGGCTCCGCGGGCTGCCTCCCGCCCACCCCGGGTTGGAGATGGGGGAGGGCGGGGTCTCGCCCGCCGGAGTCCCTGCCCTTGGTACTGAGGGAGCCTGAGGAGCTGGCGCTCACGGCCGGCTCCGAGCGCCTGTCCGCGCTTTGCCTCGGCCTTCCGTGTTGCCTGGCCCGTGCACTTAAGTAGAGCACCTCATATTTTTCTCTTTAGTTTGAGGCAGGTGAGTATCATTAAGTTCTCAGCTTTTTACGCCGAAGGGGGGGGGGATCACGTGACTGGCTCTTGGACGTTTTGTGAAGTTAGGCAGGAAAAGGAAGTTCCAAGGCTATGAGCTTCGGAATTGCTGGATAGTCGAAAGCTAAGGTTTTTTAGCCTGGGAGAAGGTGAGGCAGCCTACAAACAGCTTTTTTTTTTTTTTTTTTTCCTTGTGAAGAAAGGAGTTTAGCTTTTGCGTTTCTTTTACCACATGCACATTTCCCTGTGCAAATTTTAGGTGTGAGCAATTTAGGATAGTAGCTGTCTCTTGGGGAAAGGGTGAGACAAGCGTGTAGTTGTAGATTTTTGCACACATCCTCGCATGCATATGCATTTACAAGTTGACTATTACTTTCTTTGACAGTGGTTAGGATAGAGAACTCTACTGTGATGTTTTAAGTGCTCCGAATTATTTTTGACTGTGATTTATTGGATGTTTTAATTATTGATATGTAGCCTGTGAGTTGCTTTGTAGACCGGGCTGGCTGAACTTTCTCATCCTCCTTCCCTGTATCACCTTAGTGCTGGATTACACCTGTGCACCAGCATGCCTAGCTAAGTATTTCTTCTCTGTTGGTCCTGGTTCATGCCTGTGACTTTAACCTCTGGTCCTGGTGTTAAAGTACAGGAATTTCTTTGTAGCAATGATCCTGGCTTGTGCATTTAAGAGGAATAAGGAGAAGTTATTACAGAGTACAGTTACAGCACTGTTTTTCCTAGGTCTGAACAGGAGTTTCATTGGATTTCACTTCGGAAAAAAAAGCTGTGTATGTTATCCATCCATATATTTTAATTTCACTGTAAGAAAATAAATTCTAAGCCAAGAAGAGAAAAGAGTTTTACTTGGATAGTCAGCTGTTAGGAGAGTCTGTAGCTTCCTCACTTTTGGGTTCGTGGAAGGCTTTTATCCTTTCAGTGAAGCTTGATGAGAGCTGAACTCAGAACACATGGATGTTTAGCTAGGCAATAAAATGGTGACTAACTAGGTTCTAAAGATTTGTTTTCTTTGTGATTTGTAAAGAGAGAATCTGAAAAGATTGGCTTTATTCTAAATGTTAAGGGAAGACAGTCTCCTTGAATTTTCGGGTCCACTTTGACATAATTGGCATGAATGAGATTAGAGGTTGCTGATTTGCTTTTATATGAGTAGTGTTTAAATTTCTTTACAGATAAAAGTGCTAGTGAACTTTCAAGTCAAATTCCTGTCTCAATGTCTGTCTCTGCCACACACAGGCATTTCAAACAATGTGTTAAAGCTATGGGCACAATCTATACCGTGTCATACTTTTTTGAGACAAGATCTTAAGGTCTTATAGCCCTGGCTGGCCTGGAACTGGCTTTGTGAACTCACAGAGATTAGCCTGCTTCTGCCTTACAAGTACTGGGATTGAGTGCATGAACCACCATGCCTAGCTTCATATTTTAAATAAAATTTTTGGTTATATATGTAATGGTGTTTTGCCTATATGTGTGTGCACCACTTGAGTGTTTGGTGCCCATGGAGTCCAGAAGAGGTGGTTGTGTTCCCTCAGACTGGCTTTACGGCTGGTTGTGAGCTACCATGTGGGTGCTAGGAGTTGAACTGGGGTCCTTTGGAAGAGTAGTCAGTGCTCTTAACCCTGAGCCATCTTTCCAATCTGAAACACCTATTCTTATTTTCCTCGTTTTGGTTTTTGTTTTGTTGTTTGTTTTTTCAAGACACGGTTTGTCTGTGTAACCTTGTCTGTCCTGGAACTCACTCTGTAGACCAGGCTGGCCTCAAACTCAGAGATCCACCTGCCTCTGCCTTCCAAGCTCTGGGGTTAAAGGTGTGTGCCACTACTGTCTGGGTCTCCTTTTTACTTATATATTTTGTGCCAGAAAAAAAAATGAATTTAGGTATTGAGTATATATTTAGATTTTTATTTTTTCTTTTATGAATAGGGTTGCACTTTGTAGTCCAAGCTGGACTTGTGTGTGCTAGTCAGTCAGTCTTCTGCCTGGGCCACCACCGATTTGGTTGGCTACCTGGCTTTTCTTCGTTAATTTTTCTAAACAAACAAACAAACAAACAAAACAACAAACTTTAGTTTTGGTATGCAGATCTCTGAGCTACAGGGTTTTTGGGGAAGGGAGATAGGGTTTGGTGTGCATGCAGAATTCTTAACCCTTGGAGAAGGAAAAACTTTTTTTGTGGTTTTTCCTTTCTTTCAGAAAAGAAATTTCTGAAGTATCTCAAAGCAGCAGTAAGAATAGTAGGTTATATAGTCTCTCTTTGTGAATGAAACGAACTATTTTGCTTAGATAAGTTATTTACTTTTTCTGTTTTCTTGTTCATGATATTTTGGAAGGGATAACAAATACTATTCTTAGAAAAATACTTAATCTGTGAAGTATTTGAATAATAATAAAATCCTCATGTTTACATTTTCTAAATTATTTTAGAGCCAGTACTTAGATCTGTAGAGACAATGAGTTGTTACATAGTTTGGGAGTGGAGGTTGTCTTCCCCAATGTGGGGCAGGAGAAGGTAAGAAATGAGACTTGAAAGACCCAGTAATGTCTCTTGCTGGTTAAGTTGAAAGATCCTGTAGTTTGAGAAGGTATCTAAGATTATTACTAGTAGTAATTTTTAAAATTATTATTATTATTATTTGCATACACAAATGGCATGTGTGTGCGATAACATTCTTGTGGATGTTTTAGGACAACTTGTGGAAGTCCATTCTTTTTACTATGAGTTCTAGGGCTTGAATTGAGGTGGTTGCTGGAAGTGTTTGTAATTGCTGTGCCATCTCACTATCCTCCATACAAATTTTCAAAAACATATTGAAGTTACCTAGGTGTCATGTTAAAGACCTTTAATCCCAGCACTTGGGGAGGCAGAGGCAGGCAGGTAACTATGAGTTTGAGGTCTACAAAGTGAGTCCATGACAGTCACAGCTACACAGAGAAACTCTGTCTAGAAAAAGAATAGCAACAAACCAAAAAAACAAAAACAAAAACAAAAAAAAAACAAAAAAAAAAAAAACAAAAAAAAAACCCATGAAGTTGTATTAGTTTAAGAATGCCATCATTTGATTATTTGTTTAGTGGTGCTGGGGATTAAACCCAGGACCTTTGCTAGCAGGTATTCTGTCTCTAGCACCTCTTGACTTTGTAAAATTTGAGATAGCAGCTTACTAAATTGCTCAGGCTAGCCTTGAACTTTCTGTTGAGCTCAGGCAGGGATTAAACCTTTTTTGTTTGTTTGTTTGTTTGTAGACAGTCTCATTGTGAAACCCTGGCTATCCTGAGAAGCGTAGAGCTCCATCTACCTCTGCTTCTTAATGCTGGACTAAAGGCATGTGCCACTACACTGGACATAAAACTTATGATACTTCTCCTTGAACCTCAGTGTTGTTAATAGGCTGATGCCACCAGATCCAACTATTGCATATGGCTTTAAACATAGGGGGGTGTCTGTTTTGTATTTCTTCAGGACTGTTGAATCTCTTCCTTATCCATATAAGTCCCTGACTAGAGGAGTCAGAATATGCATTGGATAATAGAGGTCAGGTTAAAATTTTCTTAGAGTTAAGTACACAACTATAATCCAGTGAGTTGGGAGAATGAGTCAGGAGTTAAAGGCCAGCCTCAGTCTCATAACAGAGCCAGCCTCATCTACACGAGACCCTGTCTCAAAAACAAAACCCATATAAATCAGTTTAAATTATTTTATTGAAGTGAGTGTGTGCATGTGTGCGTGCGCTCGCCAGAATACCTAGAGCTGGAAGACAGTTGTTAAGCAGTTCATTGTGGGTGCTGGGATCTGAATTCAAGTTGTCTGTAAGACAATTCCATGCTCTTAACCACTGAGCCATCTCTCCTTACAAACCAGTTTTGTTTTTGTTTTTTAAATTATTTTATGTGCATGAGTGGTTTGGTTTGTATATATGTGTGTGCAGTGCTCACAGAGGCCAGATGAGGACTTTGGATCTCCTTGGGACTGGAGTTACAGATAGTTGTGGACCACCATGTGGGTTCTGGGAATTACCCAGATCCTCTGGAAGAGCAGTCTGCTTAACCACTGAACCACCTTTCTAATTCACAAACCATTTTTGGGTTTTTTTTGAGACAGGGTCTCACAGTGTAGCTCTGGCTGTCCTGCACTCACTGTATAGACCAGCTGTTTTCAAACTTACAGAGATCCACCTCGGCCTCTGGCTCCCTAGTGCTGGGATCAAGGGTGTGAACCACTACTCCTAGTTTTTGTTGTTGTTTGTTGTTTTGTTTTTGTTTCAGTGTGCATTGGTGTTTTGTCTGCTTGTATTATGTCTCTGTGAGGATGTCATTTCTTTAAGTTACAGACAGTTGTGAGCTACCATGTGTGTGCTGGCATTTGAATGTGGGTCCTAGAAGAGCGGTCAGTGCTCTTACCTGCTGAGCCATCTCTCCAGTCCTACAAACTAAATGTAAATTTTAAAGTGATACTTTTCCCCTTTTAGCAGGTTGAAAAAAAAAAAA